AAAACCATGGAAAAGACCATCAGCAAACACGTGGAGGCCGTGGACAAGCGGCTGGAGCAGAGCCAGCCTGAGTACAAGGCTCTTTTTAAGGAGATCTTCTCCCGCATTCAGAAAACAAAAGCAGACATCAACGCCACAAAGGTGAAAAACAAGAGCAGCAAATGAGTCCTGGCTCTCCGCAGCTCCCACGTGCAATTGCAACGGCCACGTCTTCTGTTGAGCCCCAGGAAACGCCGCGTGGCCCCTCTGCTTTGAAGGTTCGAGAGGTCTGAAAGCGAGAGAATGTCACAGGGACCCAACTCACTTTTTTAAGCTTAGGCTCTGGACAACCCATTGGGACAATTGTACATTGTAGTTAGAGGATTTCAGAAACCACATGATGGATCTCTGCATGAGTTACTGCTGCTGCCAGACATCACAACAGCAATGTAAACCCCACCATGAAAGAAAAGAAACCAGTCTCCCCCTCCACCCTTTTTCAGCTTGTCCTACAGCCCAATTATCTGCAAGCAAAAGCCTGGATGTCCTCCAGCATCCTGCCACTGCTGGAGAACAGCGCCTCAAAGTAATACAAAAAGCCATCAGAACTTTAGGGGCTGCCCCAGCACAGCAGCCCAATCCTCCAGTTAGGTTTTATGGCTGAGAACCTATGCTTGAACCCGAGAGACTTCTATCTCTGCCTTCCCCAAAGGGCAGCATGGTCTTGCTATTTAAGCCATTCTCTAATCAGTCAGGTTTTTCAGCTCTTTACAATGCAAGCTCATTGCAACTGGAAAAACTTGAAGAGAAACATAAGACTGATTGTTCCATCTCCATCAGCATCTCTCAGTGTTTCAGTCCACACTCTCCAGACCTTGCAGGCATGTGGGATTTACTCGCTCTCAGTCTGCCCTGGTATTTCAGCCCAGGTGAAGCACCATGCCTGGTAGGAACTCAGAGCCCAGGGCTTTCCCACAGCGAGACAAGAAGTGCTATTACAATATCAGAGACACACTTTCATCTCACGGTCTGGGTACCAGCTCTCTGTGCTGTGCTCTTCAAGAGGTCATCGTCCCATTGTAGCAAATTCCTTAAAAATAGCTTGCATGGGCTCAAAACTGACTCCCAGGGACTCACACACAAGCCAGGGGATGCAGCACCTCCCAGGTCAGGGGTCTGGCCCTGGCAGTAGCATGGATCACACATCACCCCTCACTCCTGCTCCAAACATCTCCCCAGCCACAAGGACAGATTTCAGCTTCCTGCTGAAAATAATCTTTCTTGGCTGAGACACTGTCGCCTCTCATGTTCCAGTTCCCTTTCCAGCACTGAAATCTCCTCACTTTGGCTTCCACAGACATGCAAACATGCAACCAAAAGGCCACTGCAGTCTCAGGAATCACCGATTTCCAGCTTCCATGAACTAGATGATGACCTTGTACAGTCAGACACGTTTTAGGCAGAGAAGCAGCATCTCATTCCAGCTTAGGCAACACCCTGAGCATTGAGCCACAAAACCCAGCAGTTCAGTGTAAGCAACCTACTCTGTACCCGCCTGGAGCAACCATCAGCTACATCTGGATTCTCTTTTCACCAGCTTACATCCCAAAATCTTGGGTCAACAGCTGGAATCTTTGCAACATTGAGAGAAAGAAATGTGAATGTGGCTTTGGAAGGGGTAGACTGTTCAAATAGAATAATCCCCTACATCCAAGGGACTGTTCAAATGGAATAATCCCCTACATCCAGGGCTTTGATGCTACAAGGAGCAACCTTTCTTTCACTCCCCATGGAATTAATACAGAACCCCCCCCCCAAAACCACCCTGTTTTGTTAAACTGAGTACCACAGAGGTAAGCTGGCAGGAGTGTGATGAGCAAACCACCCCTGCTCCAGAGGTCTCCTCCTCAAAACCACCAACTGCTCTTCTCTTCCACACTCTGCATTTCCAGGTGCCCCACAGCCCCAGATGCATCAGGAGCTGCACGCACAGCTGTGGCTACCAGCTCTGTAACAGTATGGAGAACCTTCATGCCTTATTTATTTATAATGGAAAGCAGTTGTCTAATAAAACAAAATAAATAAAAATGAACAACAACAGCAAGAGAAGCGTCGTTGATGTCCTGGGAGCGTTCAGCACCCCTTGACTCGGCACTGCTATGTCAGCAGTGTTGGTTTAAGGCAGGCAGTGCTTGCCCTGCAGCCAGCTGATGCTGCAAAGGTGTGGGAAGGGAATCACCCTCACTTTCTGTTTAAACAATCCCATGTGGATCAGCATCACAGTTAAGTGCACAACACATTAAATATATTTATAAATGCTCTATTCTCCTCTCAAACACAGAGAAACACTGATTTTCTCACAGCTCTTACAGCTCTTTTTACTTTTAAGAACAGCACAAGAGCTAATTCTTTGATTTTCAAGTACAATTTAGGTCGAGAAAGTGCTTCAGGCGCCCTTGCAGAAAGGAAAGAGAATATGCTGAACTATTCTGCTGCATTATTTATATAACACACATTTTTGTGCACTTGGGCTGCCAACACTGCCACGCGATCAAACCTCTCTTTTGTCAGCTCGGAAGTCTCTGTAAAACCACACAATTTCTAAGCTTCCAATTCAAATCCTGTTTTTCTTTTGACCTTTTTTTTGCAAACCACAAATCCAAAAATGACTGATGTAAGTAACATGATATTAGTACTTGGCTTGACAAAGGCACAGCTGCCATGTATCAGCAGCATGTTCAGCAAAGTGCTGCAAACAATTTTCTTCTGCCTCCAAAAATATTAGTGGCCATATATTCATGTCCTGATTGACTGTGTGAGTCAGAATCACTTGATTCCTGCCTTAAGTGGTGCTTTCCGTGATCAGAGGAGGAGAAAATAAGCATCTTCTGGCCTTTTGTGCCACCTTTGATCTAAACTTTTCCAATTGCTTTTTGGAGCACCAAGGAAAGCTACACAACTCCACTGAGAGGGAACAAGAGAGTGCTGAGCAACCACTCTGCCAGAGAAGTGGTGTAACAGAGAGCAGCAGCTGCTTAACAGCACACCCCCATGGTTCGTGACAGAAAGGAAAATTGCTGCATGCAATTAAAATGGATGAGGAAGAGTATGATGTCACAGGAAATAGTCCTTAATTTCAGAATTTGGCAAAATCAGTGACATTACTCAGCTCACAGCATTAAGATAATTAGGGCACAGCTTGTCAACTGTGTGGTTGCATGCTGAATTTGAAAGCTGGCATTTAGACACGTGCAGTTCCATCAGATCTGGCCTGGCTTCTCACTGGAATAACACTTCAGAAGGGTTATAACCTGTTGTTATAAACAGGGAGGGGCCACTTGAAGCATAAATTCAAGGATTTTCAGAGCTTGAGCTCCCCACAGGAAGGATTCAGCATCTTCCCTTTCCTACAGCAACTGAGACCTTCTGGAAGGCCCCTCAAAGCCCGGAGGGACTTTGCTCACACATTAACAGCCTGCACCCTCACTCACACAGGGAGTGACTGCATCCTTGGACTCCTCAGCCTTCCCCTCAGGTTTCTGGGATGGCTCCTGACAGCTTTTGCTCTCCAGTGACCACCAAGGGGCTGAGGTGGCTTCCTCAGCCAGGACCAGGGACAAAGTAGTTCATTTCTCCAGCAGTTCATTTCTTCATTTCTCCAATGCCAAAGGTTTGGCTCTCTTGGCTCACACCAAAGTCAGACCTTGCCATCCCAGGCCCTGCCTGACAGGGAGAGCAGTTTCCAACCACCCAAGCAGAGATCACCCAGCTTTTTACCGAGGCTCTGTGGCCAGAGTGGGAATGAAGTGTTCATTCCCAACACAGTGTGGGAATGAAGCAAAACCAGAACAAATGTCCTTTTAGATTGGCCTGGCTTCACCTGTGTGACCTTCCAGCTCCTTTCCCAGCCCCTCTGAGGCACTGTCCTTGGAGGGTGCTCCTGCACAACCACCACCAGACACGTTTGACAACAGCTGGTAAATGAGTCATCCTGCCTTGAGTATTGTACCCATCCCTCTGGCTACAAATCACAAATATTTACCTGTTCCCTGTTAGAAATTAAGGTCACCAGATGGCACAGTTTGCCTCTGACAGCTCTGGGTTTTTTCCTTCAAGCATTTTGTTTCCAGCTGAGTTTGGACAAGGGCAGTGGAGCAGAACTCCGGGATTCTGAAGTTCAATTAAAGCGAAGTGAGGAGCCCTCTGTGGCGCTGAGCTGCTCAGCTGCAGCCAGGGCAGAGAACCATCCATGTCCAGGACTTGCTCCCTCCAGGGGACTGAGTTCCCTGACTTTAAATGCATTATCTGGATGGAACTCGGCTCAGATCAGTCACACAGTCTGCATCGGCTTCTGAACGCCCATTCTGGCTTCATCCACAGTTTTAAATACGAGATTGTCAGCTCCTGTCAAAACACCAGAGCAAATGACAGCCCATCCCTGCCTATGCATTTTCCTGCTGCCAGGAATAGCAATCCCTGCCCCTCTGGAACACAAATCCTTCTTGCCAAGCCAGCCTGGCAGCTCCAACAAGAGCAAAAGCTGAAGGATTTCCACAACTGCTTCACTCCCCTGCATGCTACATCCACCGCTGCTATGTCAGCATTCAAAGAAATAATTGTGTATATATACATGTGTGTGTTTGTATGTAACCCTTTAGCGCTCTTGAGAGGATAAGAATGTAAAAATTGAAGCACTCCAGGCGCAAAAATGACACAAAACATTAAAAAGCGGGATGTATTTTCATTTTCAGCGCTGGCCACCGCGCAGGTCTGGGGCGCACAGACCCTACAGGCACCCCTGACCTCCCTCACGGCCCCGCGGTGCCCTCAGGACATCCCCCATTAGTGCTGCAGACCCCTCCCTGCCCCACAGTCCCCCAGCACGGACACCACACGCTCAAGCTCCATCCCACAGCCCCAAAAGAGCCCCTTTAACCCCCTAAATCGCGCCCTCGCTCCCTCCGCCCCGCCCCGGAACGCGGCGCGCGGCCGCCGTTTCCGCGGGGACGCCGGGCGGGAGAGCACCGCGGCGGCCAACATGGCGGCGCACACGCTGCGGGGCCTGTGTCGGCCGCGGGCGGGGCTGGCGCTGCTGTGCGCCCGGTTCTCGCAGCGGCCCGCCGCCGGCACCGAGTACCGGAGCTCCCATAGCCTGGACAAGCTGTACCCTCCGCAGCAGGACGGAACCGCCGCCCGCACGACGGTCAGAGGGGTGGGGGGAAAGAGGAAGACGGCGAGGGACGGCGTCTGGGCGGGGTTTAGTTTTGATTGACAGCTGCCGGCGGGGTTTATTTCATCGGGCGGGCGGGGTCTTAGAAAGGGGCGGTGTCAATTTTGTGGGCGTGGTTAAATTGGGGGCGGGGCTTTTAGGGCTGCCTTGGCCGTGGTGGGAGCGTGGAGGAGCGGAGTGGGCGGGGCCGCTGGCGGTGGGCGGGGTCGCTGGCGGTGGGCGGGGCCGCCGGTGGTGGCCCCCGGGCCCGGTCAGCCGAGGGGCCGCAGGGACCCCGGATCCCCCAGACCCTCGGGCATCCCGACACGGCCCCCGTTGTCTCTTCCAGGAGGAGCCGCAGCCGCTCGCCCTCGACATCCCCATGGGTGAGGCCCCCTCGCCCCGCACACCCGTGCCGGGAGCCGGGCACCCCCCCGGGCACCGAGTCCGTGCCCCGAGCTCGGCCCCGTCCCGGCTCGGCCCCGTCCCGGCTCAGCCCCTGCCCCTCTCTTGCAGCTCGCCTGACCGTGTCCTACAGCCGGAGCAGCGGCCCCGGCGGGCAGAACGTGAATAAAGGTGAGGAACAGCTTCTCCCTTGGAAAAATCACCATTTTCGGTTGTTTTTCTGTACCATGTGGCAAAATATTGAACACAGCTTCTGAGTCTTCAGAGTGCTGGAGAGCAGAGATAACACATTAGATGCTCCTAGGAACACTTACAGGGATCATTCCTGCTACAGACACCACAAGGGACACCATCTCTATCCATAGATCAAATATAACAGAGCCAGCTGGATTCTGAAGGTTCACTCTGCAATAAATTCTCAGCTTAATTCAGATAGACTTAAAATACTGCTTGTTCTGCCATTAAAAATGAGGTAGGCAGGGGCTGGCAATAAATTCTGTGGTGTCTAGAAAGGCAAATACCACGACAGGTACAAGTTTGTTTTGTAGAGTGATGTGTGAAAACACAGCAAGAAAAGAATTGTGACCTTTCAGGAAATTCATCATGGAATCATCCCATGTTGAAAGCCAGCAGAGATCAGGCTGAATTACCTCATAGATCTGAGGAAGTCAGGCTGTGACACGGAAACAAAGACCCTGTTTTTCCTCCCAGTGAATTCCAAGGCAGAGGTTCGGTTCCACCTGGCATCAGCTGACTGGATTCCCGAAGCTGTGAGACAAAAAATGGCTCTGATGGTACCAACCCTCCCCTTCCATGGTTTCACTGTCTCAGTGTCAGAGCGTGGCAGAACCAGCGAGGTTTCAGTGCTCACGTTGTGTTTTCCCATCCCTCAGCACAGGAATAAGATAAACCGGGCTGGTGAGCTGATTGTGACCTCGGAGGAGAGCCGCTACCAGATGAGGAATCTGGCGATTTGTCTGGAGAAAATCCGGGCTATGGTCACGGAGGCCATCGAGAAACCCAGGGTGGTGTCTAAGGAGACAGCACAGAAACTCATAGAGAGGTATCTTCATTAAAATGCTCTTTATTTGGGTTCAGGCTATCATGTTGCACAATTTGGTTTGTAGCATTTTTAAACAATTTTAAAGGTCATACTCCTTTAAGTCTCCTTTTTTAAGGAGTATCACTGATCCATTAGATTTTAACTGCTTAGATTTTAACAGTCCCAGAACAGGGACTGGTTTTTTTTTTCTATCTGAGGATGTTTGTTGGCTCATCAGATCTCAAAAGCTGAATATTTAAATGCTTTCTTTGTACACTGAGGGATTTTTTGGTTTTGTTTTAGGGTGGAAAAAATGAACCGTGAACGGCTACGACAGAAAAAAATACACTCAACTATAAAACAGAGCAGGAAGGCAGATTTTGACTGAGAACAGCAGAGATCCAAGCCCTTGGCATTCCATCTTCCTAAAGAAGTGGTGTTGGCAGCTGTTAATGATGCTAAACTCATGAGCTGGATTGAATAAAAATAGCCTGAAAGTGTAAATAAATATATTTAACATCTTCTTTTGTAGCCAGTGATACACTGTGATGGCTTGTTAATAATTTTTCAGAATAACTATTGTTCACATTTGAGAGGACCTAAAACTTCTGATTTTTGTCAGCCACTCCTGTTTCTAAACGTTCTTTGTGTTCTTCAAGCAGCCTTTGCTCCATCAGAGCACCCTCTTCTGCTGAGCACAAAGCTACTCTAGATTTTTGGGGAAAGAAAGGGAAGAGTAAAAGCAGTCTCAACAACACATCTACGTAGAAAGTAGAATCTTAAAGCATTAAGTTTGGAAAAGACTTCAAGGATCATCAAGTACATTCCTTAGAGTATCCCTTGTTTCTTTCCTTCTATTTCCTTCCTTTCATCTTTATTCCTTTTGTTGATTTTTATCTAACCAAAGTACATCATTTAGTTAAGCTAAAGCCACATCAGGAATTTGGCAGAAATCTCAGCAGTAGGAGCCAGAACCCACCCTGTGAGTGCAGGAAGCTTCTGGCCTTTGAGGTGGGACACCAAAATCCTTTGGATGAATCCTCCAGGTGCCTTAGTGGACCCTGTTTAAGGAGAATGAAGGTCTGGGGTGTGATGTGTTTGCCACTGCCAGGTGTGATTACTGTGAGGCTCAAAGAAATCAAAATTATCCCTTTTTTTAATGTTTTGCTGGGCCCCAGTGGCCTAATGGATAAGGCACTGGCCTTCTAAGTCAGGGATTGTGGGTTCGAGTCCCACCTGGGGTGGGGAGAGGTGAATCTGTTTTAGGAAAACCCCAAATAAGAGAGGGAAGTCGTCCCTAACGTTAATTTGGGGCACACGGAGGTATCACAGCTCTGCCCCCCAACAGAATATTTCCATCTGCAAACAGCATTCAAAGCCCAGATCCTCCCCAAAATGGAATGGTGGGGGAATGAGGGAGCACTCCCAATGCTTCCTGACACGCCAGAAAGGCCTGCCCTGGCCTCTGCACCCGTGCTCAGCACCACGAGCATTTCACACTTCACCTCATCTCACCCATTTTCCCCCACCGCAAGCTTTTCTGCAAGGGATCACTGAATCATTCAAGCTGGAAAGAACCTCTAATATTTATCAAGTCCAACCCAGTACTGCCAGTTTCACCATCAAACCATGTCCCCAGATACCACATCCACACCCGGTTTGAACGCTTCCAGGGATGGTGAATCCCCTTCTTCCCTGAGCGTGGGAGGGGTCCCTGCCAGCGTCCCTCTCACAGGTGCAGGTATCTGAAGCTCCGTGCTGTGCCCTCCCTTTACAAACACGGGGATGTCGCTGACTCCGATGTTTTTGTGACATTGAACGTCCTCGCACCATCTCCATCCAGGACAGCACCAGCCTCAGCCCAGCCTCCCCATGCCCCGGAGACCTTGCAGCCACGATCACCCGCTGCTTGGCGCTCTTTTCCCACCGTTTTGAAGAAGTTCAAGCAAAGGCTCAAAGCCCTGGACGAGCAGGTGGCACCGGGGCGAGGAGGAGCCGGGAATTTCAGGAATTAAAAGCAGAGTGCGAGGTTGGGGCTGGTTTAACCCCATGAAAAATGTCTGGGTGACGCCAAGAGGGGCGAGACGGAGAGCAGCGAACCGCTCCGGGCTGCGGGGAGAGCGCATCGCGTTTCCCCCGCGGAGAACGGAGGGATGCGGAGTTCCCGCGGGACAGCCCCGGCCCCGCCGCAGCGAAAAGAGTCACCCCAGATGGGACTCGAACCCACAATCCCTGGCTTAGGAGGCCAGTGCCTTATCCATTAGGCCACTGGGGCTGCGCAGAAGCATTCTCTGGGTGCCGTCACTTAACTCTCTGCTGGCCAGGCGGTCGTGTGGCTGCCGTGGGTGGGGACGGGGGGTTCCGTTCGGGATTTCCGGGATCACTCCGGTCCGAACAGTCCCCACAGCGAGGCCCCGCTCCCCGCCCCTCCATCTCCCGCAGCTCCCGGCGCGGCTCAGGAACGCCACCGCGAGGCGGGGACGGGGCGGGATGAGATCCCCGCGCAGCGCCCTCGGCTCCCGGGAGCTGGCCGGGCGGGCTTGGGGCGCGGTGAAGCCCCGAAGCCGCCCCGGACCCCGCTGAGGCGGCGCGGCAAGCTGAGAATGAGGCAGCTGCTGTGGCCGAGCGGACACAACGGTGGTTCCGTACGACAGATTTCCCTTAAAACATAGATCGCGGGTTCGAGTCCCGGTTGAGTTAATAGAGATTTAAACGCTTACTACTCCGGTTGGCTCCCCGCGCTCACAGGGGTGGGCAGTGGGTTGATACTTCCCACCGTAACATAGCAAAGTAATGAATCTCTCCCGAGCCCACTATTAACTCTCCTAGCAGTAAGATAACACCTAGCCTCCTTCGTCTCAGCCCTTCCATTTTCGCAAGAACCGACCGTAGGTGGGCTCAAACCCATCCGCCGCCTCTTCCAAGCCCCGGTTCATCTTCCCCCGAAGGGGTATAAATTCCCCCTCATTGGCAGGATTTCCGGAGAATATCTCACCTCAAAACAGCTTAATTTGGTCTTTCTACAGGCACATTTTGTGGCCCTTTAGCGAGCTAAATTCCCACGCCGGCGAGCCGCGCAAAAACCCGCGCCGTAAAATTGAAATATGTGTCGCGTACAACCCGTAGCTTTAAAACAAGCGCGGAGGGACTCGAACCCTCAGCCATCTGATCCGCAGTCAGACGCCTTGTCCACTAGGCCACGTGGTCACCCACAGAAGGGGCTTCTACCCGTGTCACGCGCTGGGGGCTCCCCGGGTACCCCCGACACCCCCTGGGCATCCCCCACATTCACCCAGGGCATCCCCCACTCTCCATCGCTCCTGAAAGCGCGCCTGGCTCTCCCGACCCACCCCTGGTGATGGAGGCGTCCTCTCCTCTGCGACCCCGTGTGCCAACAGGTCACTGTCACTGTAGATGTGACGGTCACAGTGACAGTGCCAGCAGTGACAAGCACCACTAGAGCACAACGCTGTAACAATACTGGAAAAAACACCACGGGCCTCATTAACCCCCTGTTGTTCTCCTCCTGCTGCAGCCACTCTCCCCAAAACCTGTTTCTTATCTAATCCCGAAAAAGTTTCCCGAAGCCCACCCCAGGAAGGTATTTTAATTGGTGATCAGTGCACAGGGCTTGAGTAGGTTCGTTGCTTTCCAGGCAGCAGAGCCTCCCACATCTAAGAGAGAAAAACAACTTAAAAAGAAACTTCACTTTGTGTTTTACTGGTGTGGCATCACCCTGACCACAGCTGCCTTTAATATGCATTAACTCCACAGTAAAAGACCCTCCAGGCAGATTTTTAATGGCACGAATCTGAGAGGGCATTATCCCAAAGGCATTATTACCAAAGGGGAGGACTTTGGTCCCGGGGCAGCACAGCCGAGCGCTGTGACCCCCCTGCCCAGCCCCTCATGCAGACGTGGTTTCTGGTGGAGTAAAGATTCCCGACATCCCAGCTTGTCCTGCTCCGGGAAGAGGCTCCCCACACAAGGTGGACATGAACCAGCATCAATGGGATTTTTGTTGGGGCTCGGGTGCAGCTGATTATACAGGAAGGAGAGAAAAATGTAGCTGAAATTCCCTAAAAACAAGGGAAAATGCATCTGAAAGTCAAGAAAAACCCAGCTCTGCCCAGACGTAATTAAACGACTGCAACTGCTCTGCTTTGGTGCCTTCTGGGACACCTTGAAGGATATCCATGACCTGGCCAGTGCCATCCTTTCGCTAATCCCTCCAAAAATCAGCCTTTCATTAACACCTCTCCTCTCACCCTCGGGTCCTGGTTTTTATCCCCTTGATCACAGCCTCACCTGAGCTCTGGGACCACACAACTTATCGCACAAAGCATCCATTTTTGCACCCAAGCCCGGGGCAGTTTGTAGCAGCTCCTCGTTGTTTCCCTTTTCTGTGAAATCTAAACAGGGGCCACTGGCCGGGAGCAGACAGTCACAGCATCCCTTCAACAGCGGCTCCTGGCCCATGGAGAGAGCCCGGAGCTGCCACGGGGACTTCGCTGTCCCAAAACACGTCATGGACCACCCCGACCTCGCTCTTTGGTCTTTCCCCACATCAGGCTCCGTGTCCAGGGCCGCGCTCGGGCAGGGCGTTGGGGAATATCTTCCCACCAAGCAGTAATAGCCAGCGGCCGGAGTGGGAGGAGGAGGAGGAGACGCGGCGGCGCTGAAACGGGGAGAAAGAGCAAGGAAACGGGGCTAGCAGGGGCAAAAGAGAGCTCACCCCAGGTGGGACTCGAACACACAATCCCTGGCTTAGGAGGCCAGTGCCTTATCCATTAGGCCACTGGGGCTGCGCAGAGCGCGCGCCCCGGCCCGCGGGAACGGCCCCGACCCCGCGCTGAGGGGGCGGCGCGGGGACCCTCAGGCCGGGCCGGGGGCACCGCGGGGCTGGGCCGGGGCCGCTCCGGCAGCGCCGCACCCAGCCCGGGCTCGCGTGTTCCCTCCGCCCCCCGAGGGGCAGAGATGCGAGCGGAGAAACGGGAAAAAGATGATTTAAAAGAGAACGGCGGAAGGGGGGAAAAAAGGCCGACCACGAAGGGACTCGAACCCTCAATCTTCTGATCCGAAGTCAGACGCCTTATCCATTAGGCCACGCGGTCGCTGCGCTAAAACGCCCCCAGTGATGCTGCCAAGCCCCGGCATCGCCCCCGCGCCCCTCCCGGGCACCCCCGGAGCCCCGGGCAGAGACCGTGGGGGACACGGCACCGGGGAAATACACACCGGGGACACACCGGGGGGGACACGGCACCGGGGAAATACACACCGGGGACACCGCGGGGGACACGGTACCGGGGAAATACACACCGGGGAAATACACACCGGGGGGGACACGGCACCGGGGAAATACACACCGGGGACACCGCGGGGGACACGGCATCGGGAACACACGGGGGCCGCGGGGGACAGGGGACCGGGGACCGGGGAAATACACACCGGGGCCGGGGGGGACACGGCCATGCGGGGGGGACAGGGAACATGGCAATGGGACATGGGAGGCCGTGGGGGACAGGGAACATGGCAATGGGACACCGCTGGGGAGGGACCATCCGCTGCCATGGGGAATTCTGCTGCCAGAGGGGGAATCAAGTGTGGGACTTGCTGACTGCAACTGCTGCCCTGGAGCCATTCACAGGATCACAGAATCATGGAATATCCTGGGTTGGAAGAGACCCACAAGGATCACTGGGATGACAGCAAAAAAAAAAAAAAAAAAAAAAAAAAAAAAAAAGACAGAGATGGAGAAGAGGGCAGCAGAGGAACACACACAGAAACATAAAAAAACCCCAGAAGTCTCTGAGCCCTTCATCTGAACTGCGAGGACTCAGAAAAGAACACAAGGAGCATGGGAGATCAGCAAGGAGGCAGAAGCAGAAAATCCATGGGTGCATGGAGGGCTCAGTGGGAAATGACAGAGTGTGGTCTACTGGAAAGCAGGACAAGGCTCCAAGGAGAGCAGCCTCCCCCACAGCCCTCAGTCACACAACCACTGATCCCCGATCCTTTTCACTGGGGTTGCAGCAAACCCTCAGCCCTGTAAAGGAGACTAAATTTGCTACTGAGTAGCTCTGCCTCTTTGCCTTTTCTTTATGGGGATGGGCCCTTTCTTTTCCTCTCCCTCAAATTGTTGGATTCTTTTTTTTAATGACCTTATTTTCCCTTGACCACAACTAAAGGCTACTCCCAAGAGTCAGCTGAGTGCATCAAACCATTAGCAAATTCTTCCCCCAACAGATAAAATGTGTTTACAAAAATCCATCCCTCATTAATAAATATCAAATCAACTTCCACATAACCAATGACGTGTCCTGGACCAGCTCAAAAGACTCACGGCACCACTCTCCTCCTAATTTGGAAGCAGGAGAGGATGCAGGGAGTTTTTGTAGCCATCCTCACCTTTTCTCTTGGGACAGGTAAGTGCAAGGGGGATTGAAAACCTTCAAGGAGTTCTGTTCTCATCTGTGTGAGAAGGGATTTTTGTGTGTTAATGACGCTTTTCACATCCACAGCTCCACACCCTTTCTTTTTTGAAGCATCCTCGCAGGTTGCCTGATGTTTTTGTGTTTCAAGTGGGATTTTCTTTCCAGCAGGGGCTGCCCCAAAGTACCTCTGCACCTACTATGACATTGTTGACTACCTGAACATCTCCTCTCATGACAAGCTGCACACGTACATCCTGCCCAAGATAAACCCGAAGGAGCCTGTGGAAGTGAAGGTGGATTTCTTTCTGGTGTCAATTCTCTCTGTGGTAAGGACCCAAAATGAGTTTTTACAACAGGAAACTGGGCTATTACTAGGCCAGGGTTTGAGTCTTCTGACAGCAAGTCCACAGGGGTGAGAATCAGCCCCCTCCACTTCAGCTTTCTGCTGTTGGAAAGCACTTTTGGAAGATTTGGAGCATTTTCTCTCACTCCTTCCAGAAGTCACATCCAGACAAGCAGCCTGCTTAGCAGGAGGCTCCAAACACCCTGCAGTGCCTGAACTGGGCAGTGCATTTGCAGGACACTGCTATGGAAATGTTAACAATAATCTATTATTTTCCCTAACCATTGCACTTTGTGCTCCCACTCTTCAGCCGTAGGACCAAGAGCCATGAGCTCTCTTCCCAAGCCCCATTACTGCAGTCTGTGCTCAGGGAAGAGCTTCTGCATTGGATACATCTAAGAAAATCAGCTAAACATCTTTGTTTCTCCAGGTGGAAAAGCTGCAGACAGTCAGTTTTTACTTCGTCCTGAACCTGGTAGGTCCCTCAAGAACATTTCTCTCCTGCTGTTCAACACAAAGTCTGGTGCCCAGCCCAGAGCTCATCTCTCTCCTGCAACTTCTTCCCTCAGGAATGGCAGAACCCTTTTGCAACCTGGGACCCCTGGGATTTCTGTAACATCTCTGAAATTGTTCTGCCCATGGATACGTATTGGTCGCCCCCCATCTTCATCTTGGAGCGGTACGTCCCCCTCTCATTTTTATCCACTGGCTTCACAGAAATACAGAGGATGCAAACTGTTGGTTGTATTATAGGAAGTGGGATAAATTCAGATGGCTAAAAGTTGTTCCCTTGAGCTCTCTGTAACTGAGAGCCTCCTAATTTAGATTAATGGTGACCACAGTTTATACAAAGCACTTAGTGGCTCTGTAATACTGTAACAGCTCTTGAAATTTCCCATCTGGGCTGCAGCTAAAACCGAGGGAGCAGCAGAAACCAGCACTGCTGTGGAATAAAGTGACCTTTATAGTGTGTGGAGAGATACAGAGCAGAGCACTGAGGGTCTGACAGAGGGATGGGCGCCTCCACCAGCTCTCCAGAGGGAGAGAGGAGTGGGAGGCAGGGCTAGGAATGGGCCCCTGCCCTGGTGAGGGCACGAAGCAGATGACAGAGAGGCAGGAGATGCTCAGGAGGTGCAGAGCTGTTGGAGAATTTTGCTCAGAAATGGCTTAAAAGGCAGCTGTGAGGAGCAAATTCTCACAGCCTGTTTCTGTAAACAGCTAAATTCTCAAGCCTGTCTTCAATAACATGGAGGCCTTGAGAACTTTCATAACAGGGTGAGAAAATAAATCTTGGATTCAATAACAAACCACAGGTATTGAAAACAAAAGGAGGGGTTAATGTGTAATCTGTGACCTATGATGAGCTCGGATTTTGCAATATGCATGAGCTTAATTAACACCACTACAAAAGTGTGTAACTGAGATCAATAAATTGGAGTTCGATGCTGATCAACAAGGATGGGTCGTCTCCCTTCACTTCAACACAGAGCTACAGTAGACCTTGATCCCAAAGGGCTCAGGAACCCTTCTCCCAGACCTGATTTCCTCTCTTCCTGCTGCATCCCACGGCTGGGTGATGGCTCAGAGCCCCCCAACAGGGTGTCCACATCCTGGATTTATGGGGCTGAGGCACAGGCAGCATCTCAGGCTCAGTTACTCTCCCTGTCTGTCCCCTACAGAGTGAACGGGCAGGACCCAGAGCTGAATTACGTGGTGCTCATGCACAACGGCACCTTCAACTCCACCCGGCCCTACCAGGCCACCCTCACGTGCAGCTTGGTGATCTTCAAGTTCCCCTTCGACACCCAGATGTGCAACCTGAGCATAGCTTCATTCCTCTACCCAGGTACAGCTGTAGGCTGAGCTTGACCACCTCTGGGCTGCATTTGTTGGAGGACTGGGTGAAATGGGCCCTGGTAACTCCTGGGCTCCTGAGCAGCCCCTCATGCTCAGAGCGGGGTTGAGCTCATTTGAGACCACGGAAAATGAGTTAAAATGCTGCCATTCTGTCCTGGCACATTTCCCAGCAACATCTCTGGAACAATCCAGATGTTCTGTGGCAAGCCCCTCCCAGGACTGGTTTCTACAAACCAAGAGACCCGAGACCAGGAGGCTTCCTGCAAAACTGCTACTTGTTCACATAGAATTTTGCAGGACTGATCTTTAAACACACCTGAAAGCCACAGAAATGGGAGGAAATTAATAATAGAATTCTAAGGTTGGAAAAGATTTCCAAGGGAATCAAATGCAACCATTAAAAGGACAGTTTCAGGGATTCAAACTGCAGTTAGAGTTCATCCCTAGAGGGAGGCTGAAATATAAGCAGAGGTGCCACAAAATCTCCCCAGTCCCATCCACAAAGGACAACTGCCCTAATTCAACAGATGTTTCCCCTCTGATCCACATTTCCAGAGGTCCAGTGAAGCCTCTTCACAGAGACCTTTTTAATTTCTCCCTCATGGGCTGAGAAACCCGAGCAGTGCGTGAAACCTTCCCCCTTCCTGTCTGCATACACCCTCAGCTGGGTGGGAAAGGGAGAGGAATAACTGACCTCTAATAAATTCCTGAATTCTTCCACTTCCCTCCCCCTGTGCCTCCTGCCCAAGCAGTAACAGACTTTGTCATGAAGACGAGACAGACACCAGCTGAGATCATAAGAGACAGCAAGAGCTTAATCCTAACTGATGGAGAATGGAAGTTCACCAACGTGAGCATCATGGAATTCACGGAAATGATGGATGACAAAGGATTTTCTGTGGTCACCTATGTGGTATGGCAGCACTTCCATATTATATTGCACTGATTTGGCATGAAAAAAAAACCCAGTATAAAACAGGACAATTTTTTACATTAGGGGACCAGCATTTGTCAACACATTGAGTCATCTCCTGCTCATCAAATTTTGCTCATCCTCCTCAACAGATTTCCATGGATAGACAACCCACTCTCTACATTCTGAACTTGATCCTCCCAACGTGTGCCCTGTACTTGCTGGACATGGCTGTGCTGTTTGGTCCCAGCTCTCTCGAGGAGAAAATCAACTTCCAGATTGCCATCATCCTCGGCAGCTCCATGCTGGCTGTGATTCTCAACAACAGCCTCCCAACTTCCTCCAACAAACCACCTATCATAGGTACCCACCTTTATCAAATAAACCCCGATTTTCACCCAGGTACCAGCCCTAAGGAGGGTTTTGGGTGTTGATAGACACGTTCATGAACACTGAAGTCATGAACAGCTAAGCTTGTTTAGCCTGCTGGAGTTAGGCATTCCCTGTTCCCCACCAGGCAATGGAATGTAAGAAAATGCCAATTCCCCAGAGCTTTCTCTGTTTTCCTGTTGCTCTGCAGTGGTGTTTTTCCTGGGCACATTCCTGCTCATGATCATGGCTGTGTTGGACTCCTTCTTCCTGTTGTACCAGCAGCGCAAATCCGGGCGCTTGGACAAGGTCCTCAGGAGCTTCCAGCAAGGTAAAACAGCCCAGAACACCTCCAACAGAGGAGGTTTGGGGCATTCTCCTGCATGTTGGGTGGAGCCAGGGTGGGTTTCCTCAGGGACAAACTGTGCCCCGGGCAGGGTGAGCCATGGTGGCCCCACAGGGCTGACCCTGCCCCTCGCTCCTGCAGACCCCCACGAGCTGCCCAAGGCACCCCCAGACAATCTGGCCAAGGGGGGTCCCCAGCTGCTGCACCCTCCCAGGAAGGCCCAAGGGCAGCCCACCAAGCGCCTCTGGCAGCTGCAGGAGCTGGATCAGTTTCTTCCAGTTCTGGAGAAGGTGCTTCTCTTCAGCCACCTCTTCCTGTCCCTGTTCTTTTTTGCTGTGATTTTTATAAAATGGAGCAGCTGAAGATCAGCTCTGCCCAGTGCCAGCTCAGTTGTTCTCTACTGTGTTGCTTCTGACTCCCTGCTGTCTTTTGTTCCTGGTCATTTCATAGAGCTGCAGTTCAGTTGCCTGAATAAAATAAAATTAAATTAAAATCCAAAGCCACAGGACCCAAGATCTGCATGTGTAGTGCTTTGTACTCTGGTTCAGTAGAACTGCAGATGTTCTTGAAGTATTCTGTGAGCTACTAAGGTATTTGAATAAAATAGTTGTAAAATCTGGGGATAACACCTTCATTCTACCTATCTGTAATTCTGACCTCCAACATGACCAAAAAGAAAAGGAGCCGATTGCCTTCTCTTAGATGAGAGAAGGCAATCAGTCATCTTGATTAAACACCTTCCATCTTGAGGGGAGGTGCCTAAGAATTCCACCTCACATTATTAAATAAAACAGTGCAAGTCTTTACTATTGTTTCTGTGAGTTCCAGTGAGATCAGCACCATGCAGAAATCCAGGGCAAAGAGAAAAGGAGCACCATGATTGTTTTTAAAAAAAACTAAAAAAGTAATTTTTTTATGTGCATCTCAACACACCAATACTTCTTCACCTCCTTTTGGAATTGGCTTTTCCTAAACAATCACAATTAGCTCAGAAAACAGGCCCAGAGCTGTGGCTGTAGAAGCCCTGAGACACTCCAGACACACAGAAATCACTGCCAAACACACTCCAGCATCTCAAAGGGCTACACACATTCAACTTCTGAGCAAGTGTCTGCCTGCAAGGGCAGGAGAACTCCATCCCCTGCCCCTCGTGGAAACAGAGAGGGACTGGAGGTTCATTTGCATTTCACAGGGTTCAGTTTGATCAGCAGGACAGGGAGCTTGGTCCTGCTACCAAAACAAGCTCATGGGTAGAAAACACAAAATCCAAAAAAAGTGGAATGTTTGCAAGTTACTGTATTGCTCCACGTCTGTATTACTCAGAATTTATGTCTAAGATCTAAGCCACAGACAGAGAAAGCTCTTTATTTATAAGATCATGGAGTCTGACAGTCATTAAACTGCTCCCTGAACTGCTCCCAGTTTACAGATCAGCAATTGGCTTGTGGGGCCAGTATGGATATTTCTGCTTGTTCAGTTTGGTTTCAGGGAAGGCTTCACTCAAGTCTTCAAAGGTCATCTGTTCAAAGGGAATCATGTTCTGGAGCTTCTGGAGCTGTGGAAGCAGGGACAGACAATAATCACAAGTCAGAGGTCAGCAGGAAGGAGCAAGGCACAGCCAGGAGAGCAGGCTGTGCTCCAGACCATGCTCCCCAAGCAGGGGCAGCCTCACCTCCTGCTCGTACTGCGCGATGCGCGCCTTGGAAGCCTCAATGTACTCAGCAGTGCTCTTGGCCTGGGGAGAGCAGAGAATGTGGGCACAGTGGTTATGACAAACACACTGCCCCAGAGTGACCCTGCACATACCCCCAGGCTTTCAGCTGGCATTAAAATCCATCACTGTTACACTGGGAAACTGATGCAACCTCCAGCAGACCCCAACCAGCCAAAGCCTGCGCTGGGCAGGGATCCCCTTGCTCAGAAAGCCAGGCAAGTGTGTGCAGGGGCACATCCACAACATCCCCTCCCTCTCACCCCCTCCCACCCCCACAGAAGGCAGGGACAGCCCCAGCAGGGAGTGGTTCACTTACAGCTTCCTTCTCCTGGGCATCAATCTTGGCAGTTTGTGTATCCACTGGCTCTGGAACCTTCAGTGCACTGAACTGTAAATTGAAAGACATATTTTTAATATTTTTAAGGTTTGTTTGACTGAAACAATCCTTCACATCGAGGTCACCTTCCCTAGCAGCAGGGCAGCATTCCCTCCTGTCTTCCTAGGATTTGCTCACAACCATGTACATTAATGAGCCAAAAGTGATCAGTGCAGCTGTCCCCTGTCCCTCCCAAGCAGCACTTGCTCACCCAGGAGCTTCCAGACATCTCCTCTGTCCTGCCCACCACCCCCAGGACACACACACCACCCGTTCCCCACAGCGCTGGAAGGCAGCTGGAAGGTCCCACACCACAGAGTGACCCTATGACAGAGTTACTGCCCCACACAAAGCTCCCAGCCCCATCTGAGCTCAGCGGGTGCCTCCAGTCCTGGGAGGCAAATTTCCATACTGACACAACCAAGCTCCTCTGCTGATCCCAGTGTTTTCCTCTCAGTGCCCCAATTAAACTCCAAAAAGCAACACCCAGCTGGCAAGGAGACTGACCTTCTTCTGGAACTCATCCACCATTCCAGCCTTGGCAACATGAGCTTTGTAGAAAGCCCAGTCGATGGCCGGGGGCTTCTCTGGCAGCGCAGCCAACCTGAAAGGACGGAGCACAGCAGACATGAGCAGCAGCCTGAGTAGCCTGCTGTGCTCAGTTTAGCTGCTCTCCAGTTTGAAACAAGCCATTTCTGCAAATCCCTGTGCCCCTGGAACAGCCAGGCAGAGCTCAGCCTGCAGCTGAGCTTCACTCAGCCCCTCTGGGTGCAGCCCTTAAGGCAGGACGAGGCTGTTCCACAGCACTGAGCCATAGGCAACCAGCAGGACTCCCTGCAGCAGCCAGCACTTGCATCAGGCAGAGGATGCTAAAGGATTTGAGAACAAAGATGAATTTGTAGAGCATTTGACAGTGACAAAGCTCGTGCCAAAGCAAGGTGCGCTCACAGAGCTGCAGCTAGGGGTTTACTCTGGGGAAGATTAACTAAAGGTGATTTGCCAAAAAAAGCCACCAGCTGCCTCAAGGTGACCCGCTTTAATACCTGCGAGGCCACTCCTGCGGGACCGAAGAGGGACGGACGGACAGACAGACAGACAGCGGCACTCGCAGCGGGCTGGGAGCGGGCACTCACCGGGCCGTCAGCGCATCGTTGCGGGTCTTCAGCGCGTTGAACATGGCTCGCTGGTTCGGCGGCACCCGCTCGGCGAACGCCGCCCAGTCCACGGCCTTGAGGGCAGCCCTGCGTCCCGCCATGGCTCCGCCTGGCCCGGACACACCGGTGGGTCACGGCGGGCGGGACCGCGGGGCGCGGCTGGGGAGCGCGGCTCGGGCCGGGAACGCGGCATGAGGGGCGGGATGGGGCGGGACACGGGGACACGGAACGGGGACACTGGGGATCGGGCACGGAGGGAAGGCGGGCACGGGGGATCGGGGCACGGGGGATCGGCACACGGAGGGAAGGCAGGCACGGGGGATCGGGGCACGGGGATCGGGGCACGGAAAGAGTGCGGGCACTGGGGATCGGGGCACGGGGATCCGGACACAGGGGTCGCTCCTGAGCCCCGCCACGACCTCACGCTGGCCCCCGTCCGCTCCCACCGGCCTCCCAACACCGAGCACGTCCCCAGCCTGTCCTGTCCCCCACCCTTGGGACTCCAGATCCCCCGCCCGGCTCCCCTTTCCCGCTCCCGCGCCCGGCCCCGCTCTCACCTTCACTGACCGACACCGCCGTCCCCGCCGCGGGAAGTACCGCCCCCTCGGCTCCCGCCGCCCAATCAGAACGCGAACTCACCGGAAGTCATCATCCCCGGAAACGGCGCGGGCCGGAAGCGGCGCGGGCGGCGATGGCGGCGGGCGGGCGCTGAGGCTCCGCCATGGCCGAGGGGCCGCCGAGGGGCCGCACGCCCAGCCCGGGCCCCGGGGGGGCGCCGGGGCCGCCCAGCCCCCGCGCGGCCGGAGCGGCGGCGGGGGCTGCCGGGGCGCTGTCCCCGCCCGCCGCCGCCTCCAAGTGGGTGCGGCTGAACGTGGGCGGCACGTACTTCGTGAGCACCCGGCAGACGCTGTGCCGGGAGCCCAAGTCCTTCCTGTGCCGTCTGTGCTGCCAGGACGGGCCCGAGCTCGGCTCCGACAAGGTGAGGCCGCGGCGGGGCCGGGCCCCTCCCCGGGACAGCCCCTCCCGAGTCGCCGCCGGTGCCACCGGGGTGCCCAGAGCTGTGCCCGAGCCTCCCGTACGGCCCCGGGCCCAGTGCCGCGGTATGGGGCTCGTCACTGTGACACATCCCCGGCTTGTCCCTCGTGCCCCACGGGCAGGGAGGGGGCGGCAGCCCCGGGAACGGGGCACCCAGAGGATGCCGCAGCTCCGATCCCTGCTCCGCCCTGGGCTGCGCTCAAGGAGCCGCCCGCACTCCCCCGGTGCTTACAGCGGGGAGGGAGGGAAGGAAGGAAACTCCTAGAAACAGGAATGTTACCATTTCCCACCCTGAGCATGTTTGCTGCTTTTAATAGATTTCCCTTCACTCTCATTCATAAAAGATGATGGTGCACATTGCTTGCATGGCTGGACAGTTTTGAAGTCACTGCAGTTTGTTGTAAGGATTTTACAAACAATTATTCTTGCAATTGCAGATTTTCCACGGGATCTGGTGCACGTGGTGTTGTAAATGTGTTGAGAGTGGGGCAGCCAGAATCAGTCGGGTCTGTTGCTGCTCCATTCAGAGTTTAATCTCAGGATAAATCCTGGTTATGATTGAAATATCACTCAGCAGCATCAGTGAGGAGAGGAGAGATTTCTGAGTGGGTTTGCAGTTTCTTATTGCTTTAGAGTAGATTGGCAGGAGAAACAATGCTTTAAAGTCCTTAAGAGAGGGATGTGAGAGTTCTGCAGAGGGCTTGGCAATGCTTCAAAGCTGCTCAAGAGGTGCTTTTGGCTGTCAGTTGTTGGTTATTTAATGCCAGTTGTTGTATTGCTGGACACATGGCAGGAGCATTGCAATGTGTGTTTGCAGTAGTGAAAAGGGGAAAAAAAAGAACAGTTTTGGCTGTGGAGAAAGTTTGGCTGTTTTAGAAGTGGAGATCCCATCTTCCTCCACAGCCTCCTAGTTAAACTGGTCTGGAGAACAGGCCTAGCCAGAGCACAAGTGCCAGGTTTTGGTTCTCACTGCAGTGAAAAAGCCCTCCTAATCCCAGCTTTCCTCTCCAGGCCCTTAAACTGTGTACAAGTGCTTCATGTAAGGCACCTGCCAGCATTGCTGGGGCTGCAGTGTTCATAGATCAGACCCTGAAAAAGAAAAATGGTTTAAAAATGTACCACATCTCTACGCAGGCAAATGAATCCGTGTCCTCAAAGAGAAGCTGTTGCATTTATTGTGTTAGATTGAAATTCTTGTTTGCTGGCCCCACTGAGCCGTGCCTGTTTTGCTGTCAGGACGAGACCGGGGCGTATCTCATCGACAGAGACCCCACCTACTTCGGGCCCATACTGAACTACCTCCGGCACGGCAAGCTCATCATCAACAAGGAGCTCGCAGAGGAAGGTGAGAGAAAAGCACAGGGGAGGCTGGAATTCCTCTTTGACAGCACATCCAGAGCCCTCACCATCACCTGTGTGAGAGTGTGAGCGAGTTTCCCAGGAGTGCTGTTAGTACTGTTAATTGCTCATTAGCAGGGATGAAGTCATGAGATTCTGTGTCTTCCCAAGCACAGAGGCTGCAGCTCACAGCACACCCTGGCACTGTGCTGAGCCCAAGGTCTGGTGCAGCCCCTCTGCCCCTCACAGACCATGGTTCTCCCCAAACAGGCAGCTCTGAGGGCTTTCCCTTGATGGGGCTGGGTGAAGAAATGGACATTGTACCATGAGATTTCTGATAATCCCAGGGAAAGGGGAATCATCTTTCTTAAAGATCCTCTTAAGTCACAAGAGCAGGTGACAGCTAGTCAGGCATTTTCTCCTAGCCTCAGAGCAGGAGGTGGGTGGCACATTTGGGATTCTGACATCTGGGCTAGATTTGGAGTCAGCAGCAGGGCTGAATCCTTGTGATAGAATCATCTTCATTCTATCCTGTGCAAAGTAACAGAATCTGTGCTTTGGTTCCTCCTCAGGGGTGCTGGAAGAGGCTGAGTTCTACAACATCGCGTCCCTGGTGCGGCTGGTGAAGGAGCGGATACGGGACAACGAGAACAGAACTTCTCAAGTAATGCACCCCTGGGTCATGGAGGCAGTTCTGGGCCTCAGGAGGACAGGCATGGCTGCAGCCCTTGCAGCAGCACTTCTTTGGTTCAGCAGTAACAGGGGAATAAATGCTGTTAGGTGGATGCAGGGCATGGCGAGCAGAGAGTCCTCAGTGTGGCTTTATAAGCACAGACCACTGAGTCATCTCAGCCCTGCAGGGAATGGCAAGGGACACTTACAGGAGCAGACATGGGTTATTATAAAGCAAAACATACTGCTTTGGCAAAGAACAGCTCAAACTCTTCCTTCTCTAAACCATTTCTTCCCTTTGTCTCTCTGTGACATGTTTCCCATTGATGCTCAGCTGATATCAGCACATCCAGTAGATTCAGTTTCAGAAATGTTTTCAAAAAGCAGCAAATGGCTTTGAAAGCTAAGGAAGTTTTGGTTTCACTGTAGCTGAGACACCTAGAAAGCTTTTAAGAGAAGAGTGCCAGGCACAGGGTTCTGTTTTGGAATCAGTGGGATAGAAAAGCCCTTAGAAAGCCTGTGGGGCTCTGACTTCCTAAGATGAGAGCAGGAGCAGCTTATTAATTTTCTAGCATGATACTGGTAATTATATCATACTAATTTTCTAGCATGATACTAGTAAAGCAATTACTAAACCCAGGCATTGTTCTCTGTGCCCCAGGGACCTGTGAAACACGTGTACAGAGTGCTGCAGTGCCAAGAGGAAGAGCTCACACAGATGGTGTCCACCATGTCCGACGGATGGAAATTTGAACAGGTACCATTACCAAAGAATGGCAGAATTCCTTTGAAAACTAGATGTGGAATAAGTAGAGTTGCCTGTTAAATTGCTTTTCACACTGCTCTGCTCTTCTGAATAACAGCCTGACCTGAGCAGCAATCCACTTGTGTCCAGTTACTGACAGGGGAGAGCAGAAGTCACTCAGGCTCCCAGAGAGATTTCATTTTCTCTCAGAGCTTCTTTTCTCCTTGTCAAATCCCAGGGCAGTTCTTCCCTTCTCCTGCATTTTATCACATACACCAGGCCACAGTATAACAGTTCTATCCAGGAAAATTACCAGAGCCATGAAAAAACAGAGCACAACTTTCTTGGAACCTCAAAGCCACAACTGCTGCATTTGCTGAAGAGGCTCTGAGTGACAGGAGAACTCTTTGCAGATGTGTTTGCAGTGCAGCTGGTTCTGTCACTGGGGCTGTCACTGCAGTTGCATATGGCATTAGGTCCACATTTGGTTTCTGGAATCAAACACAGTTCTCTTATTTCTGGGAAAGGAGAACTGGAGCCAGCTGGTCTGTGTGTTATGTTATATTAAGAAACTAGAGAATAGGGTCTGTGGATTTACAGCAGTGTCTTCCCATTTAGTCCAGCTTCAGAACAGGTGGATGCTGTGGGAAGTGTGCTGACATGAAGTGAGGCAGAGGATTAGGAACAGCACTTCCCATCAGTTGTTCCTTTGGATCTGTTCTTTAATGCCTGAAAACTATCTCAGAGTGGAGAGGCAGCCAAAAACCTGCCACTGGAAGGAAATAGTGAAATCTTGTGACCAAGAACCACTCATTGCTCCATGAAAATGCAGTTCTCCAACACCCAGGTTTTGCTGTCCAACAGTTTACAGAATCTGCCTTTCACCCATCCATATCTACACCCCCAAAACCTTGAGGCTACAAGCAGTGCCTTTCATGGGAACCTGCACCCTTAGATCCTTCCTGATCTTCCTTTTTACATCTATAATCTATAAATATGGATCTGGCTCTTCCAAAATCTATTTGGACATGGAAGTTAAGGTACTTGCTGCACATTAAAGTTTCCTGGACACACACAGTTAGTAAGAGTCACAATGCTTTCTTCAGATGACTTGGATTTATTTTCTGGAAAGCAGAACTTAGTTGTAAATGACAAATTAGCTCTGTACTCCAGGATGTCCTTTTAATGTAATAATGATGAATGAGACAGATGAGATTTCTTGGATTGAGTCCAGACCCCCTCAACACAACAGTAATAGAATATAATCCTGTTTACACAGATACCAGACTCCATTTGGGCAGCATCCACATAAAGGACAGTGTCTGTTTGCCACATGTCCCCAGCTAATCCAACATCTGCCTGGGGTAAAGAATTCCCATTTCCACATCAGTCACAAGGCAGTTGAGAGCTGAGTTCAGCAAGGACCAGGCAATTTGCAATGCCTGCCCACATCTGAGTGAACTGGATATTATGTATTGCACAATCTGTTTTCCCTTTTCCACCCCCAGAAGCTGGGCAATGTTCTGCTGTGTTCAGCATTAGTTTCAAGCTGGAATTCCTTCCCGGGGCTCCAGGTGCCACTAGAGGGCTGTGGAGCTCGGATGTGTCCCTGCCTTACACACACACACACAGGAGGCTGCAGGGGACACTTCATCCAGAACAGATCTGGGACAGTCCTCTCTCACAGCAACTGCAGGAATAAAATCAAGGCTCACTGATTGTTACCTTGGCTGTCTCCTGTTGCACAGCTGATCAGCATTGGATCTTCCTATAACTATGGAAACGAAGACCAGGCAGAATTCCTCTGTGTTGTGTCCAGGGAG